CTCAGAAAAAACAATAATCTAAGGAAACTAGAAAATCAAATTATGTCTAAGAGTGGCAGAAGAAATAATGAAATTAGTGTGCAAATAAATAAAACATAAATGAGAAAATCAGTAACAAAAAATTATAAGAACCCAGTTGTTTGAAAGATTGATAAAGTTAGTAAGCCTCTGGCCAAGGTAAGGAAGAGAGAGAGGAGATGGAAATTACTGATATTGTGCATAAAGGACATCACTGTGTATCTCATGGAAATTAAGGGATTATCAAGAATATTATGAGTTTATCTGTATCTACAAAGTTGATAATTTATAGGAAATGGCAATTGCTTGAAAGATATAATCTGTCAAAACTCACACAAGTAGAAACAGTTGATCAGAAGAGGCCTAAATCCCATGAAAGTTATTAACTCAATAATTAATAACATTCCAAGAAAGAAAGCACTGGTGTCAGGTTAGCTGGTGGATTCTGCCAAACATTTAATGAAGAAATAGGACCAATTCTCTATCACCGCCTCCAAATGATAAAGAGTGGAACCAGGTACATTTGTGGCTCATTCTATGAGGCCACCATTCTTTTAACACCCAGATATGACAAAGACATTAGTAGGCCAGAAAACTGCTTGCACAGCTGACATGAACATGCATGCGGACAATTTACAAGTGGAAGTACTTGTCACGATCCAGTGGGGTCTACCCCAGGTATGCAAGCCCAGTTCAACACTTGAAACATAATGTATGGAATTTATCACAGATATAAAAGGAAAATCACATGGTCATATCAAAAGATATAGAAAGAAATTTGACGAGACCCAGCAGCCTTTACTCATCACAGATTTCAGCAAGCCAGGCATGCGGCACACTTCTCTAGCTCCAAGAGCATGGAAGCCTGAGGCAGGAGAATCGGAAGTTCAAATTCAGTCTAAGGATTTTAGTAACTTAGCAAAACATAGTCTCAAAAGAAAAAAGTGGGGATACAGTTTACTGTGAAGGCCTAGGGTTCAAACTTTACTACTGCAAAACAAACAAAGAATCTTTCAGTAAGGTGACAGTAGAGGAGAATTTTTTCAGTTCAGTAAAGAATAGCTATTCAAATCCTACAGTTAATACTGTATTTAATGCTG